GGAGTCCCTGAGAGCTGTGACAGCAATGTCGCTGTTCCGTCTTCTCTCTCAGCAGACTCCAAGCCACATTTCCTCTTGCTCTGGGAAGTGGTTAGGACCACGAGCTTTGGAACTAGACCAGCTTGGGTTTGACTCCAAGCCCTGCCTCTCAGTGACTCTCTGGCTCTGGGAAATGTTTTGAGTGGAATTGTGTTTTTTTTTCCAAAAAGATAGGTCGAAATCCTAACCCCGGGACCTCAGAATGTGCCCTCATGTGGGAAGAGGGACACTGCGCTCAGACGAGGTTGTGCTTGAGTAGGGTGGGTCTTCAGTCCCGCGTGACTAGTGGCCCTGTGAAGACACAGATACCAGGAGATGGCCTTGTGCGGATGGAGGTACAGGTCAAGGATGGCCTGCTGCCATGAGAGGCCAGGGTAGAGGCCGGGAGCAGGTTCTCCCTCCCCATCCTCTGAAGGAGCCAGCCCTGGCCACACCTGCATGGCAGACTTTCGGCAGAGCTCTGCGAGGAGATGTTTTAAGCCACCCCGTTTGCGATATTTTGTTATGTTAGATCTAGGAAACAAATACACAGGAAGTTCCTTGAGGTTGTGGAGCTTCGGTGTCCTCCTCTGTGGACAGCTGTAACACACTCTACATCAGGCTGGCTCATGGCATGGTGGTGAAGATGGCTGGGTCCCCCATGGCCAGCTACATGGCTGGTGTCAACCCTGAGAAACATGCCAGTCACACCCGGCCAAAATCTCTATGGGGTTGCTTTCTCACTTTCTCTCTCTGTATCTCTGTGCCTCTTCTCTGGCAAGCGCATGCACCCTCTGACAGAACTGAAAAGAAAAAAAAACTGCACACCCTACATCATGTGGTTTTGAGACCATTGAAAAGCAGCTTCTGCTTCCTTATTCTAGTCTAGAAAGCCAAAGCTGATGAAGCTGACCTGTTTGTCCCTTTTGTCTTCCCTTCAGCTGAGTGAGGAGTTGGACCAAGTGGCTGAGAATTCAGAGCAGGCCGACGAGCAGGACGTGGAGACGGTCCAAGTCCAAGGCCCAGGTGTCTTACCAGGTGAGCGGTCCGGTGCTGGGGTGGAGGTGCTGGAAACCGTGCTGTGCTGATACTGCAGCTGCAGGCCCCAGTCCAAGGTGGGAGCAGAGGAGCCCCCTGCCCTGCGCTCCTGTGTCTGCCCTCAAGTATTGCCCTAGCTTAAAGCCATACATATTTAATCAGCCTTGGGACAGAGGATACATCTGGGCTGGTATCTTTTCTGCTCTAGGGTGAGTCCGTGGCTGAGGTCGGGGCATGGGATACAATGGTACAGGCTGTGGGTCTCTCCCCTGCCAG